GGTTGATGGTTGGGCCACGTGGCCAGGAGAAGAGGTTGGCACGTGAGCGGGCCGAGGGCGAGCGGGTTGGCGGGGCAGGCTGGGCCGAGGCCGAGGATGAGCAGGCTGGCGCTTTGGGCTGTTTGGCTTTCCTATTTTCCTTTCCCCTTTTCTAATTCCTTATCTATTTATTCCTCTATTATATTTACTTCCAAACACTCCTAAATTGGTATACATGTGATGCCAACATGTACAGCTCCTAGTGGGGTCCTCTAGGGGTTATCTACGGGTTAGTAGGGTCCATGTTGAGGGTCGGCAATTCACGGGCATTGATTTACAAAGAAGGTTGATTGTCTTTATGAGTTAGGTTAAGGGATTCGAATAAGGTTCAAAAGCAAAAGATGAGTTGAGAGAGAGGAAAAGGGATTCATAAGATATTCTAGAAGGGATCAAAAGGATTTGCTACGGACTTGTGCTCTCCGACACAAAACACTAAACCCACAAAGGAACTCCGGCAAACTCCTACAAGTAATTCTATATGCATGCAACAATTTATTTATAAATTGTTCTTAGTTTGACCTAGCATCTACATGCTTCACACATTGCAGGAAAAATTTTAAAAAGTTCGTATTTTTGGCTTCTCCAAAAACCCGGGTTGTTACAGCGGGGTTGGGTGGCGTGAGCTCCGGTGCCCAGCCATGAGCCATGGCGGCGTGGATCGAGCTCCGCCCGGCCATGGTGCGGGGCGGTGCGGATCAATCTCCGCCCGGCCATGGTGCGTGGCCTGGGAGGGCGATGGCGCGGGGTAGGGCTAGGGAGGCCGCGTGGGGACGAGCAGAGGAAGACGCGCGGGTCGAGCAGGGGCACGCCGCGCGAGGACAAGCAGGGAGGCCGCGCGAGGACGAGCAGATGAGGATGACGCAGGGAAGAAGAAGGGAAGGGAGGCTGATGAGCGGGACCCATGTATCAGAAAATCTGATCCCACGTTCACCTTATCTCTAACCAAATAGAAAACATGGGATAATCCAATCCCCTAACCAAACACGAGATAGGGTTAAACCCAACCAAAAAAAACTGGGTTGTGTCCAACCCATCCCCAATAGTCCCATAACCAAACACACGCTAAGAGTGTGTGATGCGGATGACTGAGTACTATTAAATCTTAGAAATTTCAGGTGGTTTTCACCATCGGCTCTTAAACCCATACAGCCGATTCATAGCATGAACCGACAATAATGAATCGTCGGTGAAATATTACCCCCAGTAGTTTGTAGAAAACTAACAGTGAAAATGCCATTGGTGAAAATAGTTTCTGTTGTAGTGAAAGAAAAATACATAAACTTATACATTCTACATCTAATATACCTAATATTAAAGGGTCAAAATTTCATGACATTTTATTCGTCCACCGCTCCTATAACCACATAGATAATGGAGAGTTTCTTTTATCCCGTTTTTTACTTGATCTGGAGTATTATCTTTTCCATAAACATATAATAGTTTTTTCTCCCGTTGCAACGCCACGGACATATTTTGCTAGTAAACTAATAGTACCCCTAAATTTGTATACAAACTACCCCTAAATATAATATATATATTTTATCCAACTCAGCCACTATCAAAGACATTTAAAATAACTGCCTAAATTAACTTCAAAATTACCCACCGCCCACCATTACAAAATATAATGCAAATAACACCCTAAATTGTATCAACCTTTACCCATACAAAAGCAAAAGCAAAGTAACCCTAAATTTGCTGTTAACTTACACACATATTTCACTAGGAATATTCATGTATTGCAACGGAAACTATAAACTTTTTATAATATATTATTTATCTTGTGTTATTAAAATGTCCTCCACATAAGTTATAGATTGAAAGGACATAAATATCTCTCTACTATACATCACATGTTTGCTAAAATTAATCTTGATTGCAAAACTATGTTAAAACTAGTCTTAGTAGACACAAGCGTTAGTTATTGTTTAAATCTTTATCGGCACCTGCTTTTGTTTTCTTTGGTTAATATGGTAATTTATTTAAATAGGACTTAATACTTATTGCTGAACCTCTTTTTATTTGGTATAAAATATTAAGGTAATAGATTTTCTTCGATTATGTTCTGTAAATATTGTTTTTTTACACTTCTATATATCATTGGTAGGCAAACAATAGTTGCAGGATTTTACAACTGATGAGCTAAGTTTCACATATTATTGCCTCAGACCTTTCAAATTGCTGATTGCCGAAAAATAAATGGAGACCAACTGTAAAGATGCCAAACTGAAAAACCCAAAAGGTTTCGGTGTCTGCGCCATAGCTATCTAATTTGACTTTTAAATTTCCTCCTGGTTTAATTACTGACATTTCTTTGGTGATGTGCATGTTTCTATTTTTTGGGCGGAACCGCGGGAGGCTTCTTCATCTGCCGATTTTTCTTGGCGGAGTCTAATCAGCATTTGATTGTCGTCAATCCTCAGTGTAAAAATATATAGGTGCTGACAAAACAAACGTGCTATAGTGAGAAAAAAGTAGCCGCAAGGACAAGGTGAAGAATGCGGAGATAGCTACATGCGGATACCTTGTTGGCCAATGGCCATGCCAGTGTGAAACAAAAGTGGCAATGGAAGAGATTTATGAAAGCATATGTAATACTAGATTAGCTCCAAAAAAGTGGTTGCTATGTTGGGCTGGTTATTGTTGGTCTAAGATGATTACCGGTTATTTTCTACTTTAGGCTACTACGACTCTACGAGGGATGGGAGTACCAGCGGTGTGATAAATATTCAGTTGGTGTGCCCACTGCGGTGATGCATACATCCAAACTATCAAGCCGTGGCAGCTCACTTATATATATAAAAAAAGCCGTGGCAGTACCGAGTTTGGGGTTTAGGTTGCTATAGATTACAAAGTGAGCTGAATGCTATGGTAAATAAGCAATTAACAGCCAAGATATGTTAAGTACTAAGAATTTGTTGAAGCTTATTAAAAATAAAATTGAGAATATAATCTCAGGAGACGGAAAAAAACTCATGTTGCTTGAAATAACATCAAGAAGGTGAAAAGCAAATCATTTTAAGTTGGAGAACTATTATGAAAAACTAATCTACCACTTCAGGTGAAAAGCGGAAAATTGGCAAGAGATCTCCAAGTTGAGAAGGTTCATATAAAGGGATCAAAGCATCATTTGAAAATTCTTTTATGTTAAAGATGTTTCAAGGCAATCGTCTGCCTAGAGCAATTATTTGGCAAGAAGCCTAGATGATGCCCAAACAATGATCGATAGAACAGCATGGATGATGTATACATCGCCCTTAGACAAAAATAGCCAATGAACTTGATATCGTCACTATGGTTGTCATGTGTTTTTAAATCCGCATATGCTTCACTTAAAAATAGGGACATATATTGATGATCAAAATGTGATTGAAGAGTTTAAGATGGATTAGAAAACACGTGCAAACAAGAAAAGACAAAAAGGACTAAATTTGGGCCAATTTGGCGTTTTCTAGGAAAAATGGCTCGAGCTGGTCTGTGCATACTAAATAGGCTTAGGCCGGTTTGGCCGGCTTCCCGCGGTGTTCACCAGGAACGATCTTGAGTCAGTTTTGGCAGTCCGAGTCCAAATTCGTGTTATTCCTTTAAGGTCGTTTGGTTTGAGGAGAAAGTTAGATGGAATATGGTCATCCATAGATTTATAGATATGGTTATTCATACTTGTTGTTCGGTTGGATGGATGGGACGAGCTATTTTTTTTTGTTTGATTGGATGGATATTTGTTGGATGGGGTGAGATGGGACGCGCTATTTTTTTGTTTAGCTAGATGGACGATGATTGATAGGCTAATGATGTCATGTGGGATCCACTTGTCATTTATTTCATTTTAACTAAAATATAATCATGTGAGATCTTGCTTTGTAGATTTAATTGCAACAAATATAACTATATAATTATATCATAAATTAGATAAACAGTTTAGTAGATAAAATTGTTTGAAGGTTGTTTGCATTCATTAATTATTGTTGCCACGTCAGCAGCAGCCACGCCATCCAAGTTGGATGAGCAATTGCGATAGATTTTTTATGTCCACTTGCTCCAATATCTCATAAGAATATTATCTCTTGTGGATATCCGTTTTTAACTCATTCATACAACCAAACACTATATATCCATGGATGGTCATATCCCATCCATAGGTATCAAGCAACCAAACGCAATAGAAACTAATCTGATCTTCACCTTGTTTGTTTGAGCTTGTTTGGCTTATAAGCCATACTTTTTCAGCCAACGAACAATATTTTTCTCTCACACTAAATCAGCCAACAGTACTTTCAGCTATGGTTTATCAGCCAAACAAGTCCAAACAAACAGGGCACTTGTGCGGAACTACTAAACTAGCTTAGGCCGGTTCTGGCAAACTTCTTGGCGCTGTTCAATAGGAACATGCTTGAGCCGGTTTTTGCAGTCCAAGCCAAAATTCATGTTTTTCCTTTAGAAACTCATCTGAACTCGTGCACAACCTAACGTGTGGAATATGTTTTCTATTAGGAAAATACCGCCATTGATTCAGGCTAGTTTTGGGTTTCTTTCTAGGAGCTCTAGCATGTGCGGTTTTATTTCGCGCTTTTGACGGGGCTCTTCGAGTGATATGTGTTGCATATCGCGCGAGAACACCAGGTGAGATGTTGGCCTCTGATTTTACCGGTGCAGTGATCTAATTAGCGTCAATATGCTCTTTATTTCAATGTACAGAATTTTATATAGGTGGGTCGGTCGATGACCAATAGCTTGTTCGCTTGGTCGTATTTAGCTTATAAGCCATGGCTTATCAGTCAACGAACAGTATCTTTCTCTCATACCAAACCAGTCAACCGTACTTTTAGTCATGGCTTATAAGTCAAACCAGCCCAAACGCGCAAATTAGTCACTCACAGTTACACGCAGAAGCAGCACCCACGTTCAGAAGCGACCCCTCTGCTCTGCATGGCTGCATGTCATGTCGCTTTTAAAGTCGGAGGTCAGCTGCCCTTGACGCACGCTAACACGTCCCTGTACTCTCTGTGCATAGTGAAGCTATCGTACACCTTGCCGTCGCTGGACCGTTTGTACTCGTAGAGAAGGGACGAGTAGTTGAATGCCGTGAGCTTGACAAAGCCGTAGTTCATCTCCCTGTAGACGCTCCACGCCGGGACCTGGATGGTGAAGTTGCTCAGGTGGCTGCCGCCGCCCCCAACGACTACGTGGATGGTGCCGTTCATGGTGCCCGAGTAGTGGGACTTCTCTGAGCTCATGCATTGTTCCTGCACAGCAAAAGTTCCGTTTCAGTAATTATAAGCACGCGTTCTAAATTGTACTTACAATTTGGAACAGGATGGAGTAATAAACTTGTGTTGGAAGAAATGAGGAGCAGCTAGCAGAGGTACGGTACCTCATAGACAGGGCATGTCCTCTCGTAGTTGTGGACATGGCCGTAGAACGCCAAGTCCACCCTATACTTCTGCTAAAGCTTCTGGAGGCTTTGCCGGGACATTGGCTCAGCGAACGATCCGTCTCTGCCGTAGAAGAAACCGGACGAGTAGCCGAGGACGCGATGAGCGATGAATATCAGCCACGGCTGTTTCTTCCGGTCGACCGTGGCGAGGCAGTTCTCGATGAACTTGTACTGCTCCGTGCCTTCCCGCCAGTCGTGCTCGCTGTCCGCAACGCAGAACCGAAACATGCCATAATCTGTGGAGTACCTGTTGAACAAGACCAAAAAGGTTTTGTGTCCGGTGAAGTGTCACTGTTGACTATCCAGCAATGTTCATATATGATAGATTGAGTTGCACTGCATACCAGTAGTTTGCTCTGTTTTCTGTAGGCGTATAGTACATGGTCTCAGCTAACACACCACACCCCACCAGAGTCTGTTCCATTGAAGTATGACCCACTGTTGGGCCAATCTCGTTCATGATTCCCACTGAATCAGGCAAAGCAAGCTGGTATCAATCACCGGAGATTTCTGAAAGACTTCTAAAGGGACTGTGTGGTTTCAATTCCAGGGGGAAAAAGAACTCAAAATATTATAAACCTCGCAATCATGTAAGGGACTCGTGAAGTGATCTCTTCGACTTGTTGTGTGAATTGATCCCATTGTGAAATGTACCCATTGGCGTAGGTAATGTCGCCAACGTGGAACACTATGTCTATGTTGTCAAGGTCCTTGATTAGTGTATCAGTAGTGTTAAGTGACCCAGGCTGGTAGTTGGCGTATTCGTTGCTTCCATCCCTCTCAGCCTATCGTATTGATGTAATAAAACAGCGATAAGCCGATAAGGACTATGCACTGAGAATGTGAAATATTTGTTGGACACAATCATGTAATAGTCATCCATAGCAATCTTCATATGTTACCTTTCCCATATCTCCGAAAATAACAACACGCTGCAGTGACTTCTGACCAGGATAAGGAGGTGCTTTGAAGGAAGATAATTTGCCCCAAACAACACTTCCATCTGGCAGCATATGCCCAATTTTGTAGTAGTACCTGGTCAGGGAACAAATACAAGTACTCAGGAAACTAGTGTTCGAAACTGAGAAAACTTTCTCCAGGAGGCAAGAATTTACTCTTTATTTGGCCACAAGTCTGTTAGGAAAGCTGTGTGTATGAAACCAGGATCTCTCCAACCTACAGAACGAGCAGGATCTCCTGCACAAGTACAGTTAGACACTTCAGGTAACAAACTGAAACTAACATTGTTCCCCAGTAAAAGATTCTCTGTATCCTGCAGTTTCTTGCCATGGATATCAGGTAAATAGCTTGGAGGCTTACTAAATACAGTAGAATGGACTCAAACAAAATCGGGACAGCAGGCTACCAAAATTAGCATTTCATGTCTCCAGCAAATATCTAAGGAATATAATTTTGTATTTTTCTCTCAGTAACCATTTTTTTTTTCTGTGCTACTGGATAGAATGTTCATATAAGCCATACCGCAGATGCTATCACGATCAAAAGTGACAGTGCCAGCTGCAGTGCGTACCGGGGGGCTCCATTTTATTCCCCATTCGACAAAGGGATATGCCTCATTGATATCATAGCCACTTGTCCATGTTACAGTCATCTAGCCAACACACAAGAGAAATTTGAGAGCGTGCATGGTTGCAATTGGACCTTCTAAGCTAGATTCGCCAGCTTCAGGCATAGAGGAGACAGGAGAGAACAACCAACCTCGTTCCAGGATTTTCCTTGCGCTAGGCGTGGATAAACTGGAGCCTTTGGGTTTGCAAAAGCAATAGCATTTGATACTGCAATAAGTTTCGGCTGTAAAAGAGAAATAGATGAAGTCAGGGTCATTGCTTTCCATCGAATGATATAGAAGGGATAGCATGACACTGCAGTGCCTTATGCAGTAACTGACATTCGAGAGTCCACCAGTGAACAATGCAAATGAAAAGTCTTGCCGCTGGTTGATCAGCTGAAACTTCAGTGCCCCTTTCCCGGACTTGCCATAATCTGATGAATAATTTGTAAACTGATACTGAAACCAGCATATAAGAAGATTTAAGTCCGATATTTATCAGAAGAATGTGAAGATTACGCATTTATTTGTTTCATCTGACCTTTATTGGTGCTGAGCATATCACAGGACCTGGGCCAGATCCGTGAGAACCAGGGCATGTGGATGCGCTGCAAGAAAGTGAAGAAACCTATTAGATCATGATTGCCACCATACAAAAACTCGCACAATAAAAATCAATACCCTCTGTACTTTCAACTTGAATTGAGATGATGTAAACAAGCATACTTGAAGTTTGAAGGAGAAAATACGCCAATCCAATCATCATCACTTGGATGGGGAATAACAAAATCAACGTTCACCCAGGCAGTACCTTCGCCCTGTGAACAAAACGCTGTCATATTTCTTTTCTTGCAGTAAAGGGCTGACAGGAGTAGTATTTCAAAGATACAAGGTATTTGTCAAAAGCTCCTTAGGTGCGCTTTCAAATGTCAAATACTCTCCGTTTCAAATTATAAGATGTCCTAGCTTTTCTAGATATATTATCTTTTCTATGTATCTAGACATAGTGTATATCTATGTGCCTAGCAAAAACTATATATATGTAGAAAAGTCAAAATATCTTATAATTTGAAACCAAGAAATTACTTTTTTTCCTAATCAAAGAATCAATGACCTAAGATCTATTTGATTTTCATCACATAAAAAATTGGCCGTTACAACTTACAAACACACTACTACATATACTTCATCACCTTTGGCTCAAAAACTGCCTTCACAGTCGATTTCGCGAATCGGCGGTAAACAATGGACAGATGTGGATCTTCCTTGAATCTACCGGGGCAAACAGAGACCTCGAGTCCTCGACTCGAGGACCTCCTGCGCGGATAGCTACATTATGTCGTGGCAGTAGGTGGCATGCCATGTTGGGCGGACTGAAGAATGGACCACCATAGCTATGCAAACACAATGGAGTCCACAGGCGGGGTCCAATATGGTTCTCAATCCAAAGCTTAGAGGGTGGATTGGCACCTGGAAGACGGATGGTTAGATGGGAATGGTGCTGGGTTGGGAAATTAGGTTTTTCACATTTATGGAGCAGAAATGCTAAACAACACTCGGTTGTTTTAGGAGCTCCGAACACGCGATTTTGGGAGCGTCCGATCCGCGCGGGGACGCGATGGAGGCTGTCCAATTCCCCAATGCTTGTGCCCACGGCTCCTTCCTCTCTCCTCTCCGGTGGCGGCGGCAGCGGGTTCCGGCAGAGCTGGCCTCCTCCTCCTCCTCTTACTCCTCCTGGATCCGAGCCCACTGGAGACGAATACGACGGCGGCGGTGGCTAGGGTTCCAGCGAGCCTCTCCCCCTCTTTCTTCTCCAACACCACCTGCTATAAAAGAGGCCGGCCGGAGGAGATAGGCAGGCCAGGCGGTGGGATGGTGGCTGGGCGGTTAGGGGGGCCAGGCGGCGGCTGGGCTAGGGAGGGGCAGGGGCGTCGCGGTGTCGCCGGCGAGGATGGCCATGGCGGAGCTCCGGTGAGGGGGGGAGGGGAAGAAGGCGGCTGTCGCGGGTGCTAGGGTTCACTAGAGCTCCGGCACGCTCAGGCCGGCAAACCCTAGCGCCTGCGGCGGGGCGGTGGTCGGCGGTGGGGGTGAGGACGAGCAGGAACGATGGTGGGCAGTTGGAGGAGAAAGAAGAACAGTGCCAAAAAAATCGGGTGTGGGGTTGTGGGCGAAACACGTGAATGACAGATAGCTAGACTCTTATGGAACGTTAGTACTTTGGTCTCCTATTTTATACGCTAAAATTGATCTAATATAAGATAATTTGACTTAGAACAACTCCAAATCTCATAATATTTTAGGAGAGAGAAGTGGAGTGATATAGAGGTTAAGGCCACGGTCCTAGGCGCGACCAAAAGAATAATCTAATATCTGTTGAATTTTTTTGGCACAAGTCAATGTGACCTTAGGCACGATACAATCTTCTAATCGCTCAGCCCACCGAACCGTGGAACAAAAAAGATCTCTGCATTCCTAGTGCAGGGAAGCTCCTGTGCAGCATGATTTGGATACCGTTCACGCATTGGAGGCGTGATTAGCGAAATCACCGGGCGAGAGAATAAGCTACGGAACGGATGCACAGGAGGAATATCATCCAACGGTGTAGAGATTTGTTTCCCCGAACCGCCCATCTCCTTAGGGTTGGAGAATAAAAATGGATATCTGAATTATCCGACATTCATATCCGTTAAAACTTATAATATGGATATCTGTGTTCATATATGTTTCTAACATGGATACTAAACGGATGTATCAAAGTTCATTTTTTAATATTTTTCTCTTTCCAATTCTAAATCTGTGTCCATGTTCGATAAAAAAATATAAAATATCTAACATTTATCCAAAGAACAAGGTATAATGAATTTATTTAAAACTTCCTTTCCATAACTAGTGACTAGTTATTTAATTATAATATTACTAATGATATATTGAAACTATTTAAAAGTATATATATAAATAAATTTGAATATTAAATTAGTGTTATTTATGATACATAAAGATTAAAATTCAGTTTAAACCTAATATATTTGTTGTCATAAATTATTTTAATACTTTAATTTATTCATTTCTGATGTAAGTTATAAAATTTATAATTTCATGATAAATATTATATAAATAATGATTGATTAATCGATATATTAATTATTAATATTTATTGATAATTATATTATTTTTTATGAGCTATCTTGTCTATACTATATACCCACATACTTTATTCTTTATTTGTGTAATAATTTTGTAATTTAAAAACATGGTAGAGGAAAATGGCTACTTGTTGCCTACCACTCTTATTTGAATTATTCAATTGACCAATCATTTATTAAATATTATCCATTATAATTTAGTTCACTTTGGGATTACTAGAAGTGTACTTTGATTTTATTTTACTTTAGTTATCGATGAACTTAGTAGTAAAATTCTATTATGTATGTTGAATTTAACAATATGCACTTTGAGAGTTTGAGTTGAATTGAGTAAATATCTGAATGAGAATTCGAATCCGAGATATCTTTTTGTATTCGTATTCAAACCCGTATAGTATTTGAATTTAAATTAAAATGTAGTAAAAGGTGATATGAGAATCTGATTCTATACCATCCGTTGCGTCCCTACTCCTGTTCTGTCTTTTCTCGCCGTCTCCGGCAACCTGCTTCTCCCGTGCGTCTTGCGTGCATCGATCGGGAACTCTGTGCTGAGCAGTGAGCACCAGTATAGATCGACCAACCGCTGGCGCGGGGTCCAAATCAAGCAAAAGCATAGCAGCAGTAGGCGGTGGGCAAGGCCTGGGTGCTGGACTGGCGGAGCTGGCTTGGATCACTGCCGGAGGAGGTACCGAGGTCAAGGCACAGCTCTGCCAGACGCCGGAAAGCAGTGCCAGCGACAAACAGCCAAGCTAGCCAGCCAGCGCCAAGAGCCCTAGAGCCAAGCAGGTATTGGAATTCCCCAATCTTGCAATCTAGGTCTTTATTATAATTTCCTAATACGGAGTATTTATGAAAATTTCTTTAGAGCTCTATATTTAGAAGAGTGAAGAGGACAAGACACTGAAATCATTTTATTGATTATTAATTCCCATGTTATTACACCTATTTTGCAACCAAGGTCACCAATAATATTGTGACATATCAGCAGAATTGATGACTCAGCATGTTAATTACGAAGAGAGAGATAAAGAAAGTTTCAAAGAGAGTTTTATCTATATGAAACCTATTGTCATAGTTACCAACATAAAAACTGATGTGACAGTCTTGGTATCCACACCATGAAACTCACCACTTTGAGACTCAGAATAAAAGAATTCAACATGTTTGTAGAAGTTTACTCGTCGTGGCATCTGAACGCTGTGGGTCTATTTGGAAGAGCTTCACATCTGTACAACCAAATCTAGAGCACCAGAGCAGCTCCCATGGTGGATTTGGGATCCGGCTAGTGCTAGAAAAATTATGTGAAAGAGCTCCACGGCGGATCGATCGGGCCAGCCCAAAAGCTAGCCAATTGCATCCCATAAGTCGGAGCTCTTCCTCATCCCTCCTTCTTGTAGGAAGCCGAGCCAGAAGCACACAACGGATGCAAGGTGTGGGCGCGCAAGGCGGACAGCAGCGACGCCGGGAAGGAATCGTGAACACACAATAGTGTTGGGGAAGGAAACTGCGTGGACAGAAGCGGCGCCGGGGAACGAATCGCGTGGCCTCGGCAGCGCCGAGAAGGAAGCTACACAGACAACAGCGACACCATGGAAGGAAGGGGCGGCGAGGAGCAGAGGCTGTAGCGAGTAGGTACATCTGGGCGAGCACGACGTCGTCGGAGGGGAGGGCCGCATGTCGTGCAAGGTCAGTGCAGTACGATGCGCGGTGAGCAAATGGGCTCGTGGCGATGGGAAAGAAGCGAGAAAAGAAAGATTGAACCATTATTTCTATGTAATGAATAGTAAGGCGGGTAATTTTGGATAACTCTAGGAATTCATGAGTTTTCAGAGCACTCCATGAAATCTATAAATCTGACCCCAAGATCTGATCAATTTTTTGTGCATCTGAATTATTTAGAGTTGAGAAGTTTAGCTTAAAAGAAGTGAATCTAGAATTGTTTTTCTTAGATCTAGAGCTGCTGGAGCACTTCCAGATGGAATCGTTTTTCACAGTTGAGAGGGGAACAAACGCCAGGGGATTACATGCATAAAACTATCCATGTCACTTCACTTGTCATGGTGGCAAAATACATTGTGTGACGTACATTTGATCGTAAACGCATATATTTTATAGTTTAAAAATGCACCCGTTTATTTATTTTGCAACTTGTTAGAGCAAAGTGATACAACCACATAAGTTGTATGGTGGATGTAATTTACTATTTATTTATTTACTAGCAAACATGTCTATGTGTCTTACTGAACTTAATATATTTTGGAATTGGACTCTTTTTCATTGGTGGATATGAGTTACTCTAACTTAGACCATGTTTGGTAAAGCTCAAGCTTTTTTTCACTGAACAACAGTTTCGAATGGCTCCTCCTACTAAACCATTTGATAGGGCTCCTCGGAGTTGGAGTCAAAGCCAGAGATGAGCCCTACCAAATGTCAAATGTGGTCTTATTCTCTCAGTCCCTTTTTAGTCGTCGTTCTCACTTTCCAGGAAGTCAAATGTATTTAAGTTTCAAAATATATATAATAAAATATTATATATGATTAGTATCATTATTAGATAGACCATTGAATATATTTTTAAAATAAACTTATTTTGGAATACAAATGTTACTAACATTTTTTTATAAGTCTAGTTAAGCTTAAGAAAATTTGACCAACATAAATATCAAAGCGACACTTGAAAAAGGACACGGGTCACGGATCCTGATCACGTACAAATACGATGGGAGCGAGGATAATTTGAGAAGTAAAAAAATAGGGGGAAACGGATTGGAAGAAACGCGTGCTTATTAGGTAGAGATTTGTTTAAGTTGTTCTTCTGAAAACAAAGGAGAGGCAAGAGTACAGATCTGACTTCTATTTTATTTACGAACACCTCCTTCCAGGAATTAAATACAACTCTACATGTACATATATGAATGCATGGAGTCTAAGGCCCGCATTTTGGAGTCTAAGTTTGATGGCTGGAGGAAAAAACACTGTTCGACTGAAAAAACAAGCGCGAAATATTCGTTTGATGGCTGGGCGGAATATTCGGACTGAAATACTGTTCTTAATTGGAGGCCCCAGTCAAACCCAATAATTTGGCAGTCAGTATTTGACTTGAAATAATTTACTGAGATGACGCGGAGAAAATGTGCATGCCTCTCAGCAGCTCACTCCTTGTCCTTGGAAGGGTCATTACGAAACCGGCCATGACCTGCGGCCATTTGGCCAGCTACTGCTCTCCCCTCCGTTATGGCCTAGGATGGCGTATGCTGCAAGTGGACGCAAAAGATGGGCCCCATTGCGTTGCGCTCACGAAATCCTACTGCGGCCTCGTTTAGTTCCGCTGAATTGGCGCCGGTAGGAACACTATATAACTCTACAGTGTTGTTTTGTTTTTATTTGATAATAATTGTTCAATTGTTGACTAATTAGGCTCAAAACGTTCGTCTCGCAAAGTACAACCAAACTGTACAATTAGTTTTTGATTTCGTCAATATTTAGTACTACATGCATGTACCGTAAATTTGATATGACGGGGAATCTTCTTTTTCCATAGTGTCAAAATCTAGAATCGGAGGGAACTAAACGCGGCCTGCAATGGAGTTGGTTTCATCCCCTTCAGAGGTCTACGGTGAATAATGGATTTAGGTTCCTTTTTTATTGGATTTTGATTGATGGGATCAAAAAGAGGAACTATACATTGCCAAATGCTTTCCCTAGGATTCTTCTTCTAATTTGTTGGTTAATTTGGTCTTTCGTTTTAACGCAATGCAAGCCAGTTTCTAGAGAGAATGGACTTTTTCAGCAGCGCAAGAATCCAAGGATGAGCAGGCGACGGGCGGCACTTGGAAGAATAATGCATAATTCCAAGCACGCAGGTCGCAGAGGTATAACCAAAAAAAAAAAAAACTAAAGCATCTGAATTAATGGCAGGCATATGCATGTACATACCTTGGTTCCCAGCAGCTCCGGCGAGGCCCGCACCGCGGCGGACGCGTCCAGCGCGACGCGGGCGCGGTGGATGGCGATGCGCGACAGCGGCTGCACGCCGCCATGCCCCGCGGCCGCGGCGGCGAGCAGGAGCAGGCACGCCAGCCGTGCTGCGCCTTCTGGTCTCATGCCGTGCAGAGGTATAAGCCCGGTGCTGGTTCGTGTACGAGAAAAATACCGTTGGCTGTCTGATATCTGACTGAAACTAACAATTGAACTCTGTTTTCGAGCGTCTGTTTTCGAGCGCACGCTACGTCTACGTGTGGGCGCACTGGCCGGAGAGGTGGGAACTCAAACGAGACGGGGGAGTTGACTCGGGCGGAACGCCGGCGCGATACAGCGGTGTCCAGTTTCGCAAGGGCTCATAGAGATTCCCGCCCCGCCGGCTGTAACATGCCTGTGTTTACATTTTGATTGACGCCGCGTACATACAAATCAATGGAGAGAAGGAAGTTATATGCTTCGGATGCCCCAAAATTTGGTGTCCTCAGTCCTCACGCACTGTTTAGCTGATGCTCCATCTGTCCCAAGCTTCAAATCAGTTTAACTGAATACAATATGACATACATTATCATAATATTCCTCTTTGACGTAGTATAGATGTTAATATTCTTCTCTATAAATTTCGTTAAACTATGATTAATTTAGTCAAACGTAGCATAATTTGACTTAGGATAAACTTAGATCCCTTATATTTTAGGTTCAAGGGGGCAATAAATTATATGATTGAGTTTCCGTGGATAGTGACACCAAACCATACTTAAGGTAAGTCCCAGAAGTTCCAAACACCACTATACAAAATATTTTTTTGTCACAGTGTCTTCATTATCTTTGTTAAAAACCGTTTGTGATAAATTTTTATTGCCGGCTATTGGAACCAATGATGAAAATGATTATCATCGTCGGTTTTTGTCCTCATCTAGTGGTGACAATAATTTTCACCGCCGTCTCCCACCACGAAATGGTAGTGAAAATGTGTGCAGCGCAAAACCACATTCCTTTGAAAATAAGCCCACTATGAAACACCGAGCACGACATATGTAGAGGAAAGGACAGGTTGTGTTGTCAGTATGACATGACTTTACATTATGAAAATATCGTCAATATATCTCGGAATACAATGAGATAAGCATTTTATGAACATATTTGTTTTAAATAACAAGTTTCATATGTACATGCACCCTATTCGCTTGATCGTTTCTGTGGCTTATAAGTCAGCTTGATGCTATTTTGTTATGAGAGAAAAACACTATATCATAACTGATAAACATGGTTGATACGATCGAGCGAACAGTGTGGAGTCTTCCCATGTATAGGTGAAATCCTGGAAGAGGTGGGCCAGATGGGCCAGCTGCTCACGACCCTGCTGGGTCGACTGACCCCTGGTAGGCCACTTGGACGCCAATATGTCTAAGAAGTGAGAAAGCACTATCCCAAACAATCTTGACTATTATATGTGGGATGTGTTTCTTCTTAATTAATGGATTTGCATATACATGGATTGAAGGGTCCACATCTACGAATATTCGTACCACCAAAACAGTGTAAAAGTGTCCTAGAAGAATAGACCAAGCCTCCCACCAAAGGGTGAGGCCCCACATGACAGGGGGGTTGGGGGTTGCACAGCCCCCTAGGGCACTCCACCAGCTCACTACTTGGACAACATGCAAGGAAGCACACTTTCATCAATCTTCACTGTTGGTTTAATGGCAGTTTGATCCAATGAACATCACTACAAGCACTTGGATCCATGAGCCCACCTCTAATTACTATAAATAGAGGGGGTACCCCCTCACTTCCACAATGTTCAAAACATGGTTGTAATATACAACAACAAAGCCTTTATTCACAAATAACTTGTTTTATGATAGTGGCCAATAAAAACTCTAAAAGTCAAGCAATGTTAAATGATAGTATAATGTATTACCTTTCTTGTTTCCTGTATTTGCATCGTCTTCAAGCTTCAAAAGTTATGCAGCAAACATTAATAATCAAGCAAAGGCAACCAGCCCCTCAGTCTGCCCCTTTGGTTCGCCATTCTCATGTTCTCATAATCTCTAGTTGTAACAACAAACCACACATGATGCATGACTTCATAGCTATGCCCCTCACTTGATCAGACCTCATCTGAACACCTATCTTGTGAGCTATACCACGACACATGGTGGTAAATTTGTGAATTTTGGTTCCTTATTTTTTGAGATTGCAGACAAAATAACGTGCAAAAAAAACTGCATGTCATGCACCAACAACACTCAACTAAACCAATAAACTGATCATTATGGTCTGTGAAGCATAGACACTTGACACATCAAGTGAGGTAAATAGAGGAGAAGGACATTACAATTTGCAAGGAGAACAGCAAAGAGCACCTTTATTCGGAGATGCAGAAAAAATGGTCGATGATTAAATATAGGAAAAGAAAATAGTAAAAAAAACCTTAGGTTATAATTTAAACCATACCTCCCTGCAAGCTCTCGTCATTAGTGTCGCGGATCTCCTCCAGGTGCTCTCAACATAGGGTTCAATGACCACTAACTGATGAAGGACGCTATGATGATTGTTGCACCATTTTGAACTCTATATATATTGGTGCGAATTTTCCTCCCTATGCACCCCATTCTCGAGGTTCTGCCTTCATGCCGAGTGACGGGCAGCCCAATCACCCTTCCATCTCGGATGTATTTGGTGCAGCAATTGAAGGCCTCCTCGGTTGTGTATGCCTCCGATTATAGAGCCCTCTAGGTGAGCACGGTTAAGGACGTATCTATTGAGGGTCAACATGAACCGCTCGTACGTCCACATCTGGTGTAGGTACACGGGGCCCAGTTCCTATATCTAATCCACCATGTGCATCTTCAGGTGTGGCATAATATCGATGTAAGACGGTGGGAAGCACATCTCGAGATGGCAAATAGTCTCCATAATGAAGGCTTTCATGGCAGGCAGCTCAGCTTCATCAATGACTGTGGGGGTATTAACCCCTATACCCTTACGGCTAAGCTTGGGTCGGCCTGGATCGATGGGTCCGGTCCATCCGAAAGACGACGCGCGGCCCAGCCAACCCGGTTGGAGTCCTGCGCAAGGAGTTAAGGCGGATTTGGCGATCAAGCAGGATCCTGGTCGGTTAGAATAGGAATTCTTATCCGGCCACATATGGCAATTGTAACTGGCTAGGATTAGTTTTCAGATCTGTAACCCTGCCCCCCGGACTATATAAGGCGGGCAGGGGATCCCTCTAAAAAACATCTCTCATTAACATACAGCAATACAATCAGACGCAGGACGTAGGTACTACGCCTTCTTGGCGGCCGAACCTGGATAAAACCTCGTGTTTGTCTTGCGTCACCGTCTTGTTTGTGGCTTGCGCATCTGTCTGCCGATAATCTACTACCTTAGGCATACCCCTAGGTAGACTGCCGACCATATTTCGTCGACAGTGGCGCGCCAGGTAGGGGTCCCCTTTAGGGGATCGTGTGCGCTGATCTATAGAGAACCAGATGGGATCTCAAAGTCAGCATCACGTTCTCGGCAGGATCGTTCTTTGATTCTGTACAAGAATTTCTTCATCGTCGTCATCTGCGGGGATTCGGTTCCTCGCACACACCGACCTGCAGATCACCAACTCAAGGCTTAGTCCGATTCTGTGGGCAATCTGCCTCAATCAAGTTCGATCCCAGCATCCAGTCTCCGCCGACTCCAAGGCTGATCGAGTATGACTCCAAGTAGGCAAGCAAGACCATGTCTGAATCCTCAACTAACGAGCAAATAAGGAAGGAGCCGAACGACAACAAGCCAAGCCAATTAATCTCCTGGAACACGTCCCACAAAAGAATCCTACTCCGATTCGATCTGCATGATGATTAATTGCCATCATGTGCCCCAACGCACAGTAGCAAGAGCACATCGATCGAAGGACAATGCAAGATAAACGTGTGATCTACAAAGCCATGCAAAGATAATTAAAGTAATCAAGAGCCGATCCGCATGCAAGCACGAACAATTACATGGCCAAGCAAGCAAACAAAGCAAGGCGTATCAAGCTACAACTCCATGCAAGATATGACGTCAAGTACTAGTTATGCACAACCATACAAGAGAACGAAGCCAGCATCCGTGCTGCTGGAGGGTGACCTCCCTATTCCAGACGAACAGAAGAAGCAAGCTTTTCAAGTTCGACCAAAATTCATCCATGAGAACTAAGCGCCCCGACGGCATCAAGCCAAGCCAAGCGAGCGAGCCGAGCCACGCCGACCACATCCCGAGCAGCTCCGCCCTCCGACCACGCGACCACGCCACCACGTCGACCACGCCCGGACCAGCGTCGACTCCGACCACGTCGACCACGACCACGTCGAGCAGCTCCACCGAGCTCCGACCACGTCGACCACGGACCGCGTCGACCACGTCCTGAGCAGCTCCGCCGAGCTCCGACCACCTCGACCACAAGACTACGTCGCAATGATGATCACCGCGAAGAACGGCGCTACGACAATCGCGACCACAGTCATGACGACAGGTCGAAAAGCTCAAGGACCGGACAACTTCATCACCAACGACACGTCAAGCCATCTCTCGAACATCGCAACACGTCGACTACACCCACCGGCCGTCAATAAAGCTAAGTATTATTTTTAATTGAAAATTTCTTCGATCATCATACACCTCCACCGACCACCCTAAGGGTGCGCTCCGCGTTGAATTTTCTCCATACATACAATCCAAAACATGTATAAGTTTTTACAACGGTTCGCCGATACGTTTTCCTTCCTTCTTGAGAATCCCAGGCCGGCAAGCCTCGCTCTCTCCTCCACCCACGCATGCATGAGAGTCCACCCTCTGCGCTTCACGGGTAGTCGGTAGTCGCTCCTCGGTAACACTTGGCACTCTACGCGGCGGCAGTTCGTCCGCACGCGCTACTGAGATGTTGGTCAGCCAGTATCGGCGCATTCTTCATGATGACAGTTAATACATCGCGCTACGCCACTACATAACAAAAGGGCTAAAAACAGCTAATGTTATTTTTCGAATATTACACCAAGTATAATTCATCGCCAACCGAACACCAAGTGTTTACTTCACCTCCTACGGAGAGGTCAATATATTTTGTACATCATCATGTACTACCG